AGGGCCACCTTAGCAAAGCGCATCCCAGGCTGCATAGCCGCACTGCCCTACCCAACCATACCACACATAAACATGACACTACCTCCGGGGTTTACACAGACGAGCCGGCGAAGCAAGAAGAGCGCCAGAAGAAAGGGCCCTAGCCGGCGGGGCCCAGCCAGGACAAAAGGAGGTCCCACAAAGCGCCTACACCGGCCGCATTTGCGGTCGGGGTAGACTACGGATGGGGCCCACCTACGAAGGCTGTCCAGGCCTATACGAGATGAGGCAGGATAAAGAGTGATAATCCCCCTCGATCCCAAATCATTGAGGCCAATTTCTAGCCATGGAATGATGGCGCGTGGCGCTTTACGGGCCGTGGTCCTTTAATGTCAGTGGTGTTTCGATTTTGGTATTATCAAAACGACCTTCTTGTATTATATGTTTTGTGTTTGGGGTTTTACCACAGAATATCCTGTAGTTAGGATATTCTGTGGTTTTACTTTTACATCTGGACTAATCTGGAGAATTGCGAGATTCAGTTTCCCTGTTTTTGTCTGCATTTAATTAGATAAGTGTGTTAAGCAGAAATATGGGTATATTAGAAAAAATTTCAGAGATTGAAAAAGAAATATCTAGAACACAAAAAAATAAAGGTAACTTTTTGTGGTTATTTATGGATTAACCTCAATGTCCAATATGTATTTTGCTTTTAGCTACTGAATATCATTTAGGTCTTTTAAAAGCAAAATTAGCCAAGTACAGGTCGCAGTTGTTAGAACCATCAAAAAAATCGGAAAAAGGAGAAGGTTTTGATGTTCTAAAAAGTGGAGATGCTAGAGTAGCTCTAATCGGATTTCCTTCTGTAGGAAAAGTATTTAATATTTAAATATATATTTTTAAATTTTCTATTAATGTTTTCATTCTCAGTCTACTTTACTATCCACATTAACAAAGACTGAAAGTGAAGCTGCTTCATATGAATTTACAACTTTAACGTGCATACCTGGTGTGATAGAATATAATGGAGCAAATATACAGTTATTAGATTTGCCAGGTATTATTGAAGGAGCTGCTCAAGGAAAAGGAAGAGGTAATAAAATAATTAACATTTGCTTTACTTATTACAGATATTTAAATAATAAAAAATGTGATTATTTATCTATCTCATCTTTGATAGTGGAATTGATTGTGATGTTTGAATTTAACGTCAGATTTAAGATTTTTTTGTCATGTATGATAATTCCATTTCATCGTCTTTTTGATTATAAAACCAATTTTTTATTACAACAGTTACAAGCATATGCATCAATGTTTACTAATAAAAAGTTCTCTTCAGACAATAGTTTGGAGATATATTGTACATGTTCATATTAGCCAATTCTTTTTTTTGTTTTTCGGTAAGAAGAGATTCATCTAGCCTAAAATAATTTGTTATTCCATTTTAATTTGTGTAAATAAATTAAAAGTACAATTTACTTTATAAAACCCTAAACCAGACTTGTGAATCCATCTTTTGCATGTTTCTCCGAAATATTTAGTTTGACTTCCATTCTGCAGTGATCTTGCGTACAGTTCCTCTCCAAAATCCTTTGCTCAGATTTACAAATTTCCTTTATGATCTTGATTTTATTTTCACTGTTCATCCTCTTGATATCCATTTTGCCTGTTTCCTCCATAGATTTGACAGTGTATAGTAATATGGATGGAGCCAAAGCCAACTTTCTATGCATTATAGCTGTTCCAACATGAACTGCAAAAGCAGCAGCGATTTGTCCTAAGTCGCGTGACCTAAAGATAAAATCGTGCGACCTTAATTGCAATAACACTTAATATCGCTTAATGGATATAGCAAATCGCATGTGATAATCCTGCAAATGCCCTAAGTCACGCGATGCAAGACTATTTTCATCTCACTTTACATCTTGTCCCTTACCCTCTCTATCTACATTCCATACTGTCAAATCTATGGTTTCCTCAAACAAACTAATTATATTGGAAACTGCAGATTCTGCCAAATTCAGCTATACTGTTATCTTGTGATTGCTATTATCATGGTATTTTTTATAATTAAGTCTTGAACTTTTATATTTGTTGCTGTTGATTCTGATTAATTATCAACCACAACTATCGGTTAACAAAAATTTTATATTATGTTCAAAGCCCACTGTTTGATATATTTTTAGACAATGCTAATGTTAATGTGTCACATATGCTTTCTATTGATTGTGAAATTGCTTATATAACCTGCTTAGATGTTTACTAAAATCAAATCTATTTATAGTCTATGGGCAGGGGTATATGCATAATAATTAAAACTTTAAAAAAAGAAAAATTAGTAGTTGATCTATTGAAATAACAAAAATGTCCAAACAAACATTTCTGTGTTGGCGCTTGCAATAAATAACTGTAATTATTTTAAAATAAAAAAGACGTGTTATCTATATTTTAAAGATATTTAGCAAATTCAGGTACATTCAAAATCTAAAAAAAATCAAATGAAGTCAAATAATGTTCTTCAATACCAATTTTTTTTCGCAATTTCGCATAATAAATACACAACAGCTTACACACTTTGACATCAGGATAATAAAATTACAATTTTTAAAGTCTCTGCTCATTTACACAGTTTTATATATTTTTTATTGCTTAAAAGAACAGTATAGATTTAAGTTTCTAACATGAAAGGAAGGAATAGAACATATTTTAGAAACATCATGTTGTTTAATGATAAACAAATTTATTTATTTATCATACTTATCATACTTACACCACTCGACAGCCTAAGCCAATTGATGAGTGGGAATAACATTTAAGAGTTATTAAAAAAAGATTTATAAACAAAGAACATTAAGGTAACTTTCGTTACACTGTCCCCATCCTAAAAATGATCATCCTCTCTGATAGATGCAGTCAATACTAGCCCAATGGCCAAACAATTCAGGTGCACATTTTTCATTTTCACTCTGAGCCCTTTGGATCCTGTAGACCAAGTCATTGATCCTCCAAATTACTGTATCTTCCCAAAAGTTCTGGAGCTTAGGAGACTTCTTTCTTCCTTACTGGGTTGTATAGCCATACTAAATCTTCTTTCTGGAACCCACTGGTGTTGGCTGACATTATACCGTGTTATCAACCAATTGCTTTCAAACTTGATTTTCTATTGGATTTTGTCATAGCTGTCGGATTAATAGTCTTCTGGTGTATCAGCTCAATCTTCTGAGTGGCCAAAAACAATGTCGAAGGGTAACCTTAATTCTCTGTTGAAGACTATGCTGGCTACTGTTCTTCCAGTAAACTCATGAATTGCTGATCGGTTGACCAATAGGAAAAGAGGTACGTGCTGTCCCAATCGGTTAGATGTTCTTTGATGACTGTTCACAGTCATGCCGTCAAATCTTAAATAGGTATATTAAATATTTTAGAGAAACCAAAGGTAATATGATAATGAAAATAATGCCATGTACTTCCCCGTGAATCGGAAGTAGTTGTCAACTTTTTTATTATAAATGGAGCATCCTAAAAGATAAAATAAAAATAAGTCAAAAACGTTACAGCTTCTAAATTAGATCTAACCGTGAGTGGTCATCCACTAGTAAAAAAAATGTACCAGTACTGCATATTAACTCTGAACTTTATGCAATATTTAGTAATGCAGGTAATAGTTACAATCGCATAATGTAATTCTCATAATTTAAGATAACGTAACGAAATGCATTTTAATAGTAATTTAATACTATGTAATACGTGTAATGCAACTTAATACATAATTAATTTAAGGTACCTGCTGAATAAAAAAAGCTTTTTTTTTTTATAAAAATACATTTTAACGAAACGTGCCTACATTATTTCAAAATAAATTATTTTTTAACTGTTCATGTTTCTGCTCTATTATACATCTGTCAGTCCTGTTAAAATAAAAACTACCAATATTCCATGTTATCCTCTTTGGCCCAAAGTTTATCATTTTACCATTTTGAACGAGGAAGAAAAAGTTGATGATTGGTAGCTTCGTTGTTTAATATTCATTTCAAAAATGCACCCTTAAAAATAAAATTACAAGTTCCAGCAACAAATCGGGTCTGTACGAAATGAAATGTCAAATTTAATTATAACAATATTTTTAAAGCCCTTCTCTCCTGATGAGCTCTATCATCTGCTAATTTGCAAACTAAAAAATAATAATTGTGCTGGACCCGATGAGGTACCCTTGTTTATCATAAAAAAATAACTTAAAGCTGATCCATCACTTATTTAGTAAATCTTTCATTTCTGTTAAATAATTACAGACCAATAAGAATTTTTAGCGAATTTTCAAGTTTTTTGAATATGCTTTTTTAGAGAGATTATTGAATTTCATTAATAAATTTAATATCTTAATAGAAAATCAGCACGGCTTTCGCTGCAATAAGTCTACTACTACAGCGATTCACAGTTATATGAATCAACTGATTCAATTTATTGATGAAGGTGAGTGCCCTGTTGGGATTTTCTGTAATCTCAGCAGGGCCTTCGACTGTGTCGATCATGACAAATTAATGCGTATTTTATATAATAACGGGATAAGAGGTAAGTCTCTGAATTGGGTGACATCATTTCTGAAACATCGAAGTCAGTATGTGAGTATTAATAATCAGAGTAAGGACATGATACATATGTACAAGTCAGATACTGTTGATATAAATATGGGAGTGCCTCAGGGCTCCGTTTTTGGACCTATACTTTTTCTTTTATATGTTAATAAATTACTAGCCTCAGTGATGAAGCTCACTTTACTCTTTACGACGATGATATGTCTCATATCATTATACAATAACAACAATATTTATAGGGGGGGATAGCTAGACCCCTAAGCTTCCCATACATAGTTTCACAGTGGCTTAAATGCATACAGGGTGCTAGAAATTTAATGCCGAGTTTAGTTAACTTCAAACCTTCATAAGTCGTTTTTTTTTACATGGAGCACCCTGTATGTTTTTCTTTGTTATGATACACAATTTTATTCTTTTTGGAACGGTATAAGGTTCCCTATTACCTATTTCGAAAACGGTTAACTTTAAGAATAGGAAACCTTTATGAAAGTCCATCTAAAATTACACGTAGAATCCAAAATTGCAATAATGTATAGGGTGTCATATTTAAAATAAGTAAGTTGATGGCAAAAAGTGGTACGTGGACGCCATTATTTTAGTTGAAAAGAGCATGTCCGTAAACCTGGTATCCCAAATTTTCAAAATTCAAATCGAATTAGTCTGAAATAATTCTAATGGGCCGTCACCGTGAGACCCTCTGTATTGGTTTATATACCTGTAAGTGTGTGCATATTTTTGTATATACAGGGTGTCCTAGAATAACGTGTATAACGGAAAACCACAGATTCGTGGACTCAAAATAGGCAGATCTAGGCTAATTTACCTATATCCGAAATCGCTTCGTTTGGCTGCTAGATGGCCTCAAAGTTGGTGAAAATTTTTTGAATTTTGTAAATAACTTGAATACATATTAATCGATATTAATTATTTTTGGGGTGTGGACTTTTGCTTTCGATCTACACAATTTGATGTTATACAAGAGTGTTTTTTTAAACCTATAACTCCTACAAAATTGATGTATGGTGATAATATCCATTCATAACTTTTTCCTCTTTCAGGCAATAATGTCAACTATTTTTTATTTGATAGGTGATACCATTTGGAAGTTTTTAGGCCTCTTGTAGAATTTTGATTAAATGAGCGGTTTGGGTACAAAAAAATATTTTTTAAATGTTTACATTATCTTGCCACCCATATTACAGTACTTGATAAAGTGCGAGTAGGCACTGATTTTGTAGGTTGACTGTAATTTCAGTCTGATTTTTAAGTCATTGTGTTAAGATGTGTCATAAGATAAGATGTTACAACCTGTTCATTAATTCGATATGGATACACACATACGACGAATTAGTGTTCTAGAAAAATGATTCTACATTTTTCTTGTCGAGAAAGTACTTGATACTTGTAGAATACTCAATGACAATACCAGTATTTGCCTTTCAAGGCACATTTGATGAAATTTTAACGTAATATTCTTGAAAATGTAAGTAATCCGCAAATATTTGAAAAAATTGAAGTTGTAGCCCCTACAATGCCTATATCGGTGAAAAGAGATTTCAATTTTCTATAATACGATGCAGAAAAATACAGGGTGTTCCACTTGAATTTAAAAAGTTTTGTCGGTTGTAAGTTTTCAAAATGTAAAGTGAAAAATGACACTTAAGTATAATTTTCTTCAGGTAATTTTGATAGCGGAAGGTAGTGCATCTTATGTTTCTTGTGTATTCTGAAAAGCAAGTTTTTAGCTTGTTTTAGCTATCATTTAAAATTTTTCCTGAGTACAGCTCTGAACACTTTCAAAATATCTATTGGAGGAAGTCATAACAGTATAAAAGTCAATAAAGCACAAAATATCCAACAATTTTTTTTAATCAATAATTTAAAAAAAGTTGTAAGTACCTAATAAAAAAATTATACGAATTTATGAAATGTTTTATTATTTCTAATAATTAGTTTTGCTAATAGTAGTAAGATATATATACCGGGTGAGTGACCACGAGATTACTACCCAGACTCTAGCTTAGGCACCAAAAAAGATACCGATTTCAAATTTTGGGCATGCATATCATTGAATTTGATGCAAAATTTAATCAAAAACAACTGTCCGTCACTTCCTGTTTGACCGGAAATGCCCTATACTTTGTTATTTCATATGGAACACCCTGTATATTATTTTTGTTTTCAATTCTGCTGAAGAAACTAACACTAAAATATGTATTATGTCCTATACCTATCTTTAAAATGTAAAATGTGTCATGTATAAAATCCTTTTGAAAGAAAACAAACGAAGAAAGGTACAAAGTCATATGATATCTTAACTTATTTTAGAAGTACTAAAGTCTGATATATCATCTTTAATAGCAAGTAACTGCAATAGTTTTAATGGAATGCCCTACAACTAATTGAGAATTCGTATTCTACAAACAATTTCGAATCATTTTTATACCCAATACCCAAAGTTCGGAGTTTTTGAGATATTAAATGTTTGATGTAAAAATGTCATCTGAACGATGCATAATTGGAAACGATATAATCAGTCAATGCATTGATCAGAGGTGCCTAGGAATCTTAATTTTAATATGGTTGCTATGACGGGCATTTGTTTTTAGACGCCATATTTGCATCTATTTAAATATTAGTATTAAGGTCAAAGTCATTAACAATATTATTTATTTAAAAAAACATGGTAACAGTAAAGATAAGAAATTAAAGAAAAATGCAACAGATCATCCATAAATTAAGTGTTCAAATTGTTCACCATTCATTTGATGACATAAATGAATCCTGTTTCCAAATTCCCTTAACGCATTTTCCATTTGAACCGGAGTTATATTATTTACCGCTCTTGTAATCCGATCGCGGAGATCTTGTAGATCAGCAGGTTGTGTTCTGTACACTGCTTCTTTAATGTGACCCCAATAGAAAAAAATCTAAGGGAGTGATATCGCAGGACCTAGCTGGCCATCTAATCGGTCCGTATGTACCTATCCAACGATCATCAAACTCTTGATTTAAATGATCCATTACTCTTCGGGTATTATGGGCTGGAGCTCCGTCCTGTTGGTAATAAATGCGTAAATATTCATTTATTGCTGTTAGTGGATTTTCAAAGAAAAATGGTCCAACGAAGCGTGTTCCAATTACTCCCATCCACACATTAACTCCAAATCTTTCCTGGAAAGCTCCTTGTCTAAATATGTGGGGATTTTCTTTTGCCCAATATCTTGAATTATTTCTGTTGAACATATCCAAATTTGTGAAGCGTGATTCGTCAAAAAAAAGTATAAACCGACTTAAATTTGGGCGTCGCTGCATCATAAACCAATTACAAAACTCCACTCTCCGTTGGTGATCGGCTTCATAAAGATGGTGGTGTATCTGGTACTTATATGGCTTAAAATTGTGCTTTTTAAAATCTTTCTGACGCTTTCCTGTCCAATTCCAATATTAGCAGCAATTTGCCTAACTGAAGTAGTCGGATCTACCTCAATACACGCCAGAGTATTAATCTCCGCCTCTTCATCAACAATAAACTCGTTAGGTTCTTCCTCAAGTCTTTCGGTTTTTAAGTGACGTTCAAGCCAAGGAAAATATTTGTCATGTGGCTGTGCACGATCTGGATATCGTCGCCTGTATAAAGCTTTTGCTTCTCTGCGATTTTTTCTCGCTTCTCCATACACTAGTAACATGCCGATTTGATGTTCGCGAGTAAAAACTGGCATTTTAAATAAAAAAGAAGTAATAAGCACCACCACTAAACGTGAAATGTAACAGCAAAATGTCAAATTAAGTAATTATGAAAATATGGCGTCTAAAAACAAATGCCCGTCATAGCAACCATATTAAAATTAAGATTTCTAGGCACCTCTGATCAATGCATTGACTGATTATACCGTTTTCCAATTATGCATCGTTCAGATGACATTTTTACATCAAACATTTAATATCTCAAAAACTCCGAACTTTGGGTATTGGGTATAAAAATGATTCGAAATTGTTTGTAGAATACGAATTCTCCATTAGTTGTAGGGCATTCCATTAAAATTATTGCAGTTACTTGCTATTAAAGATGACTTCCGGTATTTTTAGGATGTGCCGGAAGTGTGACATTTTTATGATATCAGACTTTAGTACTTCTAAAATAAGTTAAAGATATCATATGACTTTGTACCTTTCTTCATTTGTTTTCTTTCAAAAGGATTTTATACATGACACATTTTACATTTTAAAGCGCGATTTTCTCGGAAACTGTCAAATATAGGTATAGGACATAATACATATTTTAGTGTTAGTTTCTTCAGCAGAATTGAAAACAAAAATAATCTACAGGGTGTTCCATATGAAATAACAAAGTTTAGGGCATTTCCGGTCAAACAGGAAGTGACGGTCAGTTGTTTTTATGAATTTTATGAAATTTTGCATCAAATTCAATGATACGCATGCCCAAAATTTAAAATCGATATCTTTTTTCGTGCCTAGGTTAGAGCCTGGGTAGTAATCTCGTGGTCACCCGGTATATATATAAAGTATGGAAACAGCACAATAACTTTCGAATAATGCATTTTGAGGGAAAATGATTCAGACAAAAGATTTAGGATTTTTCCCTGGCTATCTGACGGTGACCCTTGATTTGACCGTGATCTTCACCTTCAAAAACCGCACTATATCAATTTTGGCAAAAATTGGTTGATTTTTGAAAGCGCGTCCGCCATCTTGGATCCGCCATCTTGGACTAAAATTCCTCAAAAACAGATTTCAGATTCGTAGTCAGCGACCCCAAAACCTCCCCTATACCAAATTTGGCTTAAATCGGTCAATTTTTTGGAAAAGCGTCCGCCATCTTGGATCCACCATCTTGGAAAATGGTCAAGGACATATCTGAACGTAAAATTTTCTGATCTTTTCATTTCCGGGGTCAAAAGTAGGGCATCCCATTTAAAAAAATTAACTTGACCTTGAAATAACCTTGAAGGTCAAGGTCAAATCTAGGGTCACCATTGAATAGCCAGGGAAAAATCCTAAATCTTTTGTCTGAATCATTTTTCCTCAAAATGCATTTTTCGAAAGTTATTGTGCTGTTTCCATACTTTTGGGACACCCTGTATATACAAATGCCCATAATTCGCAAGAAGGATCTGATAGGATTTTGAGCTTTGCGAATTTTGAATGTCCAGATGATACAGAAACTTTCTGCGTTAGCCGTTTTGGCGGACATTTTCATCGAACTTTTTCTCCCTTCCTGATCACCGTG